AAACAAGGTATATGATTTGTTGAATGTAAAACTGATGATATGCCCTGTAAACTTTTACTCAACCCACAATAAAAACCTTAAAAAAAAAAAAAAGAGAAAATGCAACAAATAAATGACCTAGATGCAAAACAAGAAAATGTTTTGAGGAAGAAAAGGTAATAGAACTAACTGAAAAATAACTCAAAATAATGCTATTTAGGGAACTTCAAACAACTGATAAAAATATCGAGGAAAGCAAGGAGAACAGTGAAAAATCTTTAGAAGAATGCATGAAAAGACTACAAGAACTAACAGATAAAGTAGATGAAAATTTTGAAACAATACAAAGCTTGCAATTAGAAATCCCGAAGATTAATACTAAGATTTCAGAAATGGAAAATATATTGAAAGATCAAAGGAGTAGATTTAAAACAACAGAAACCTGAATTACTGAACTCGAAGATAAACCTCTTGATACTAGAAAACAATCAGAAAAAAAGAATGAAAAAATCAGAAGAAAGCCTAAAATCATGTGGGACACTATGAAAAGGAACAACTTACGATGACAGCAATTTCAGAACAGGAAGACACACACACACACACACCCATACACACACAAAAACACAGAGATAATTATCAAAGAGTTTTTGGAAGAAAATGTCCCTAACATCATGAAAGATGAAAAGAAACACTTTTAAGAAGTTGAACAAACCCCAAACAGGATAGATCCCAAAAGAAAACCACCAAGACACATCATAATCAAACTTTCCAAAATCAAAGAAAAGGAAATAATTCTGAAAGCAACTCAGGAAAAATGAAAAGTTATCTATAATGAACCAATTAAGACTAACCTCTGATTTCTCAGAAGAAATTGTGCAGGCAGGTAAGCAACAGGGATAATATAATAAAAAACTCTGAAAGAAAAAAGTTGCCAACCAAGAATCGCATACCCAGCAAAGCTGTCCCTCAAATGTTGTTGTTAGGTACCATCAAGTTGGTATCGACTCATAGTGACCCTATGCACAACAGAACAAAACACTGCCCGGTCCTGAGCCAACCTCACAATTGTTGCCACGCCTGAGCCCATCGATGCTGCCACTTTGCCAACCCATCTCGGTAGGAGGTCTTCCTCTTTTTCTCTGACCCTTACCGTACCAAACATGATATCCTTCTCCAGCGACTGGTCCCTAACAATATGTTCAACATATTGTATGAGAGACAAAGTTTGGCCATCCTAACCTCCAAGGAGCACTCTGGTTGTACTTTATCCAACACAGATCTGTTTGTTTTTTTGGCAGCCCATGGCACTTTCAATATTGCCCTCCAACACCATAACTTAAAAGCCATCAATTCTTCTACAATCTTCCTTATTCACTGTCCAGCTTTCGCATCCATATGAGGTTATTGAAAATACCACGGCTTGGGTCAGGCACACCTTAGTCCTCAAGCTGACATCTTTGCTCTTCAACACTTTAAAAAGGTCTTGTGCAGCAGATTTGCCTAACGCAATACGTCGTTTGATTTCTTGACTGCTGCTTCCATGAGTGTTGATAGTAGATCCAAGAAGAATGAAGTCCTTGACAACTTCAATCTTTTCTCTGTTGATAAGAATGTTGTTTTATTGGTCCAGTGGTGAGAATTTTTGTTTTGTTTACCTGGAGATGCAACCCATACCAAAGAATGTGGTCTCTGATCTTTATCAGTAAGTATTTTAAGGCCTCTTCATGTTCAGCAAAGCAAGGTTGTATCATCTGCACATCGCAGGTTGTTAATAAGTCTTCCTCCAATCCTGATGTCCTGTTTTTCTTCATATAACCCAGCTTCTCAGATTATCTGCTCAACATACAGGCTGAGTAAGTATGGTGAAAGAATACAACCCTGGCACACACCTTTCTTAATTTTAAACCATTCAGTGTTCTCATGTTCTGTTTGAACAACTGCCTTCTGGTCCATGTACAGATTCCTCATGAGTACAATTAAGTGTTCAGAAATACTCATACTTCACAATGTTGTCCATAGCCTGTCATGATCCACACAATCGAAAGCCTTTGCGTAGTCAGTAAAGCACAGTTATACATACCTTTCTGGTATTCTCAGAAATTAATGGAATTTGTAATAACCAGATTAACTTTATAAAAAATGCTAAAAGGTTTTCTTTGGACTGAGAATCAACAACAGCAGACAACAATACGGGATTACCACACATAACAACACCACCAAAACTCAATACGGATATGTTGTTGCTAACCACCTTCAAGTTGGTTCCAACTCAGCGACCCTGTGTAGGGTTTCTGAGGATTTGCACCACTGACCTTATGATTCAAAATGACCTTACTATCCAGCGCATTATCCTGCATCACCACACGAGGACTTCTAATCCAGATATAGAAGTATTTAAAGCAAAAAAAAAAGCTCCAAGACTGAAAGTAGACAGCCAGAGGTATCAATTTATAATGCAGTCAACTACAAAGCAAAAAGAGGGAATAGTGTAAATATAGAACTTTCCAATGGCAAGGAAGTCAAGTAGATTTCAAGATATAACAAGCTGTCTTAAAAAGGAAAAAATGATAATAAATTACAAGATAATCACAAATAAAATTAATAAACCTGCACATCAAATTTAAAAAGAGGAAAATTGAAAGATTTAGTAAACATGAACACAACAGAAATGAACATGAAAAGAAAATCCAAAAAATGAGCTCAGCACAGAAAATGATGTTGAACAAAAAAACCAGCAGCACCACTGAAAAAAATAACAGCAAAATGTCAGCAATCAATTCATACCTATACTGACTGTAAATGGATTAAATGCACCCGTCAAGAGCCAGAGATAGCAGAACAGAGAAGAAAATAGGATCCTTCAATACGTTGCATCCTTCAATATGATGGAGATGGCCTAAATGTCCATCAACAAAAGAATGGTCAAACAAACTGTGGTACATGCACACAATGCAATACTATGTAACAGTGAAGAATGGCAATGAATCTGAGCAACACCTCACAATATGGGTGAACCTGGAGGAATTTTGCTGAGTGTAATTAGTCAATTACAAAAAGACAAATATTGCTACGAGACCAAAGTTTTAAAAAGTTAAGAAAAGGTTTTCTTGATAAAAGAAACAATCTATGATGGTTATGGGGCAGTTGTATGCCATGGAGTCGGTTTCAACTCATAGCGACCCTGTACAGGGTTTCCAAGGCTGTAAATCTTTACGGGAGCAGAAAACCTCATCCTTCTCCCACGGAAAAGCTGGTAGTTT